TGTAACGGGTTGAGACCTCATCAGTTCCCACCATTCTGCCTTTACCCAATCATAACATGTTGCATGTCCTTGGTCTGTATGGCCCAAACTCAGGATATCAGCAAGGTCCAGATCTGTTTTGTCTTTTCCTGGCAGATGGGCACATGGTTATCACTCTTCTTCCCATTTGTCTACATAAATGGGGGAGCATTTCCTCTCTGCCTGTAACAAGGGGATTTTATAGCTTGGGTCCCATATGAGTGTCTCTGAGGCTAGCAGGCTCTTGGGCTGTTATTCATGACATCCTGCATCTCCTTATCACAACAGGAGCCAGGCGAGCCTCAAGGGGGGGAGCATCCAAGAGGGGAGGCACCACAACAGACAACCCCATCTCTCTAGTTGCCACATGCCTCATCTCTGAAGGTACAGCTGTAGAGAACAGGACTTGAGAGGCAGATCTTAGCTGGTGGGCTAGATAATGGAAATACTCAAAACCCAAGAATATTCCTAAGTGAAGAGAATGATACGTCAAACTGCAATATAGGCTATTGTGAATAAGGTTGCTGATGACTGGGCTAAAGAAATGCCTCCCAAAGGAATATCAGGGTAGTGACATGGAGGCAGGCAATGGCACTGATAATTTAGAGAAGGATGAAAATGCCTTATAAATGACTGGAATGCTAAAGAAAGTTGGTCCTGACCTGGATAGGCCAGGCTAGCCTGGTCTTGTCAGATCTCACAAGCAAAGCAGAGTTGACCGTGGCTATTATTTCAGTAGGAGCTTCGGTGGCTCAAGTGGGAGTATTTCAAGTATTTCAGTGGGAGACTGCCAAGGAATATCAGGGTCGTGACATGGAGGCAGGCAATGGCAAATCACCTCTGAACATCTCTTGCCTTGAAAATCCTATGGAGTCACCATGTAGGGTTGCCAGCCTCCAGGTGGGGCCTGGAGATCTCCTGTTTTTATAACTGATGTCCAGCTGACAGAGATCAGCTCCCCTGGAGAAAATGGCTGCTTTGAAGGGTGGACTCTATGACATTGTACCATGCTGAGGCCCCTCCCCTCCCCAAACCCCGCCCTCTCCTGGATCCACCCCCAAAGTCTCCAGGTATTTTCCAACCCAGACCTGGCAACCCTATCGCCATGTCAGCTGTGGCTTGATAGCAAAATAAAAAGTTGGGTCAAAACTAGCATTTATCTTCCTATGCAAATCTACACTTCCCATATGCATTGAGGTTTTATCCTGTAATATGTATAGGCTATAATGCTGAATAGCTTTATTTTATATTTATTATAAAATCAAAAACAAAAAATTAAAAATAATGTATTTCCATTCTCATTGAATAACCACATCAGATCCCCTGTATCTGAGGTGAAGGGACACAACCTCCCAACAGGTTTTGAGCTACATTACCTCCAAGGAAGGAAGGCAGGCAGGCAGACAGACATTAGACACTGGCCCAAGGCATATCAAGGTAGTAGGAAAGTAATGAATGCATATGGTAGATGCTAATATTCTTGGGGGTATTGAGAAACAAAGAATAGCAATGGCTCACCCAGCAGAGGAAGCATAGTCCCAGAGAGAGAAGAGTAGATGCTAAACAGCAGCTGGGAGGGACAGGACATGGTCAGTTAAAATTAATGAAATTCCATTAGTACTTTGACCTCTGGAGATTAGATAAGTGGTCAAATTCCATGTTGTATCTCTCTGGGAAGCACTTGAGTGGGATATTGACCACACATATTCTTTGGTGTCGTGGTTAAGTGCGCGGACTCTAATCTGGGAGAACCGGGTTTGATTCCCCACTCCTCCACTTGCAGCTGCTGGATGACCTTGGGCAAGCTGTAGTTCTGTCAGAGCTGTTCTCTCAAGGACAGTGCTCTCAGAGCTCTGTCAGCCCCACCTACCTCACAGGCAGTGTACCCTCTAAGCTGAGTTAGTGCGAGCTAGCTCACAGTTTTTTAGCCTCCGGCTCACCCATTTCTGTTTCAGTTTAGGGCGGAGGGCTCCAGAGCAGAATGATTGATGCAGCAGCCAAATCGCTCGCTCACATCAATAATGCCGGTAGCTCACAAAGTAGATTTTTTGCTCACAAGACTCCACAGCTTAGAGGGGGCACTGCTCACAGGGTGCCTGTTGTGGGGACGGGAAGGGAAAGGTGTGTGTAAGCCGCTCTGAGACTCCTTTGGGTAGTGAAGGGCAGGGTATAAATCGTCTTCAAAACAATCTTTAAAATGTTCAGTGCAACTGGGTAACCGACTCTCTTTGCACTTGTACCTTCAGTTTTGATTGCTATGCCATATATTCTATGCAGTAGGACAGAACTCTTGGTAACCGTTTTGACCTGTGAAGATGGATATTTGCAAGTGTGGTTGAAATGGTTTTAATGTTCATTCTCTGTGCTGAGAACCTCATAATGCAGCAAATGAGCCACTTCTGCTACACCTGAGAATGTTTGCCTGTCTATTAGAATGTTACATCTGTCGTCATCTTTAAATGGCTTGTCTGTTATGGAAGACCTGGGGTTCAAACCTTGGGCAACTGCAGATCCTCCATCTGTTGGGAAAGCTGGGATTGCTAACATAAGGTATATACGCCCTGACCTGGATAGCCCAGGTTAGCCCTATCTCGGAAGCTAAGCAGGATTGATCCTGGCAAGTATTTGTAAGGGAGACCACCAAAGAATACCATGTGGCGGCAGGCAATGGCAAACCACCTCTGAATGTCTCTTGCGTTGAAAAACCTAATGGGGTCGCCATAAGTCAGCTGTGACTTGATGGCGCATTCCACCACCACCAAGGTATACACGTTCCGTGGCTTGGTAAACACTACTTTCCATGAAAATTTGAAAAGTTCTAAATTCCAATAGTGTTTGCCTTTAATGTCCTCTCAGGAACTTCTCCTTTGTTCTTTCACCTTTCTGTCTATCCCGTCCTGTTATATCTTTTGTTATGTTATCTTCTTGCACTCCCTGGACAGCCTCGGTTACCCTGGTTAGAAGTTGGATTTTCCTGTGATGCAGGACCCTATGGGATGTGACCTACACTTCCGCTTGGTGTGGGACTGGACAAGGGGATAGATGGCCTGCATCACTGTATGCTTGCTAGCTGCGTCCTCTCTGGCCAGCATTCAAGTCTAAATACCATAGGAGATTAAGGATGCATCCAGACAATTGTTGGCGATCGTGTTATTGTTGCTCTGTAGCAGTCATTCGCTACTGGCTTTTCCTGAACAGACAAGCCAAACCAGTTGCAAACGGCTGCTGTCGCACAACAGCAAAAATTCTACTTTGAGCAAAAATTCTACTTTGTGAGCTACTGGCATCAAATGCCCCCCCCCGCGACTCCAAGGCAGGCGGGCCAAGGGGGGCCTAGAAGAATCGGGGAAGCATTTAAATGCCTCCCCCGGGCTGTCCAAGGGCCGGCTTGCCCGGGCTCCCCGCAGCCACAGGGCGCCTAGGCAAGCCAAGAGGTGTGTGGCCTAATATGCTAATGAGCTGTGCTGTCAGGGTGTGGCCTGTTATGCTAATGAGTTCCTGCTGGGCTTTTTCTACCAAAAAAAGCCCTGTTTAAGGTTATCTCCAAATGAGGTTATACATAGTCACAGGATACAGACAGGATTGAAAGAAGACGTCCACCATACAACTTTTAAATGTGTGTCCCATTACTGGGCCACATCACCCTTAGTGCACACTCTGAATTGATATTCAGAAGACGTTTACACAGTGCAGTGACAGCGTGTGCAATTAAATGAATATATGTTGTCTTCCCTATCCCCTATGAACATTGTTAGTCCTCTGTCTATAATGTGTAACTGTAAATCTCCACACCTTTTCCATCAGTGGCAGTGAGGCTGGGAGCTGCCATGGGCGGGGGTGGTGGCAGTGGATGAGGCCGGGAGCCACCCCAAGCCCAACTCCCTGCCCCTCTGCCTCAATACAATCCAAGTGGCCACGGCCTCTCTTGATCTCGGAGATGCCCCAGGTGGTTAGAGTCTTGGCTCAGGATCAGGTTGTGAAGATAAAATGGGGAAGGAAGAACCAGGCGAGCCATCCTGAACTCCTTGGAGAAAAGGCAGGATATAAAATGTATTAGAATAAAGGAAACAAGCAGCGGCTCGGACTGCACATTAATTAGTCCCCCCCCCCCCCCCCCCCGGTTTCGGGGGGGGAAAAACACGCCCCCCCCCCCCCCCCCCCCCGG